CCTCAATGAATTAGGCTATGCTTTTACTTTTAAAGAGCATAAGTCATGTTATTTTGCAATGTGGGACAAAAAATGCCTTCCACCTTGCACACAAAAGTGCTCTTAATCTTGGGGCATTCTCGATACTAAAAAGTTGGGGGAGTTGCCCGTAAGAAGCTCTCGGTCACCGGAATCGAAATCCCGTCATCCTCTTCGGAAGGTCGCTTTAATTTACATATAAATTTAAGTTCAGAAAAGTATGAAATCAAACTGACTCCATAATCTTCACAGTTTAAATGAAAGAGCACTCTACCTTAAATCCTATATCTATTCCGAGGGATAAACACAAGACTTGAGGATGAGACTCGATCAAATAAACTAAGAAATATATGACGTCAGTTTGGTCTGCGAAACCATTTTATTTGCCGACAAATTCCCTTATTTAATATGAAAAATTAAATAGAGTTTATTTTAAGTTGAGTTCGGAAAAGCTTCCTATAGGGGCAAGCCCCTATAGTTAATTACATCTTAGACAACCATAGTTACCTAAGAATACTCTCGATAAAAATCAGGAAATGTTATCTTCAAAGATGTCAAAAGGATAGGACTTTTCAACGAAATCGGACAAGGAGGTGTGACAAAGGAATGATTCAAGTTTAAAACATTTATTATAGAATCCAAAGGAAGAAGAACTAGGGGATGTCACAGATCTGAAGGAGAACCTCGGTGACTTTCTAGTCTATCCTATGGTTTGACTTCAGTTTAGAGGAGAAATTATTCAAGTGTTTTATCCTGCTAATTTTATTTATTTAGGGCTTACACTTTCATCCTGCCAATTTTATTAATTATGGCTTATATTTGTGTGAGATAATAGCACAAATAGCCTGAAAGATTTGAGGTTTACCTCGGAATCCTAAAATGAGTTAGGGTTTATATTTCACAACATGTGCCTAAAAGAAAAGTTGAGGGTTTATGTCGCACCACGCGAACGACCTTGAAATCCTATGGATTGTTGTTTAATTCTAAGGAAGAAATGATTTAGTTGGGGAAGACATGTTCTGCTGTTGAACATAGTCGTGCTGCCCACCGCGCTAGCTCCAAGTTCCTTGTCGTGAAGAGTTTAAGTTTTCTAGGGTGTCAGGTTATGATGCCAAATCCAGTGGCTCTATGGTTATAGTTCTTCAGATATTTTATAAGGAACTTGTTGAAGTTGTACAGTGTATAGCATAACAGTAGAGTATGTAGCACAGAACAAACAGTAGAGTATGCAGTAGAGAAAACAGTAGAACATGCGGTGTAAAGGAAAAGTAAGAAGTACGATAGGTAGGTGATTCCCAAGAAAGTAACATGCTGTAAACACAAAGCAAACCTGTATACCTGGGAGATCCGCAGTTCCTTAGGTGTAATTGATGCAATCAGGTACAAGCAACAAAATTTGAGGAAGCAGGCTGAAATGTTTTATATAAATGAAGTAAAGAAGCTTCTCCCAGAAATCTCGAGAAAAATCGTCAAAAGACTCGCGATAAGAAAAATGCGAGGAAATCGACGAATTGACGAATCGATGAAAATCGTTAAAAACACTGGAAAATCCCAAAAAGAGACCACAAGTGCTTTGTCCAAAAAATCCCGAGAAAACATATGAAAAAGTCTAAAAAGAGAGGATCATAAGCACTCGAGTCGGGGCTAGGCTCAACTATATATTAGTACTCGAGGGTCGTCAAAGGCTACACGGTCACCTGGATGTATAAAGCCCGCCACTCAATTAGAAGGGTGTCCTATCGAACCTAACTCAGGAGGGTACTCCTTAGCCCAAACAGGTAATCAACAGGCGGACAACCAATGTTTAAAATGTATTTAAAATTTTATATTTTTAGCATGCATATAAGTTTTAAGCATACAAAAGGGGTTGTATCAATTTTATTTGTAGCGAAAAATATATTTTTGTTTTAGAAAAAGACATATCTGTTCTTATCAAATTTGTTTTTTATTAATTTTGAAAAGTAGTTGTCCACGAGTCGATCGCGCTGTCTGGCGTAGGGCCACCAACAACCTAAGAAGGTTTGGGTTAACTCCCGCTAGTCTTATGTCGGTGAATGATACTGTCATCCTACAGCTCATCGAGTTCTTGAATCGGATCCTGATAGGTTCCTAAATCGGATCCCGATGTCGTAGGATGACATATCATCCCGCTCTATCTCCGGTGTGCCTTTGTCATCACCGCTCTAAGCCCCAAAATAAAATCGACCTACTTGCGACCTTGCTTGATGGTTTCACGTATAACAAAAGACTATACGTGGACACTTATGTATCAGACATAAGCATAAAAAACCGAACCAAGAAGCAAGAAAAAAAAACAAAAATGGGGTGAGAGAGAGGAGGGATTGATCCACCTAAAACATCGAAAAGAACGAAGAATGAATCAGCTCTTAAACTTGTAACGAAAAGACCTAAAACGGTAGGTCCCAGGATCAATTGAAAGGAGGACAGCAACTAAGGCTCTTGGCCAAGGCAACCCAAAGGATCAAGAGGCTCACGGCTAAGGTAGTAAACATCCAGCAAAAGCACAACCGAGCTCCAAACTAGCTCACGGGTAAAGGCCAAAACAAACTAATCCAAAATCCCTATAGGAAGCTCACGGCTGCAGATGGGAAGGTGGAACACAACACAACAGTCCCACGGATGGGGGACAAAGAAGAAACAAACCTATATGTACTAATCTCACGGTTAGAGGGCATAACCAAAAACCCCAAGGACAGTGTCCACCGAGCAAGTCTTGTGACCAAGGTAGCAAAAGGAAAACCACCCCAGGTATTGCCAAAGTGTTGCCTTTGATATACATAAGAGAGTGAATGGACAAGCCTTCATAAATCATCCAAACTGGCTCAAATTTTCATAAGAAATATGCTCAATTTATTTTGATCACCTCACTCTATAGATAGTGCAAATACATATATTTTTGGATGGCAAACTTGATTCATCAACAACATTCAAGTCACCCTAAGTTCAACAGGAAGAGCCAAACAACCCTAGATGACCTACCAACAAGTTCATGGGCGGAACTAAGAGCAAGCATGGACCAACTCCACTACAAGCCTTCGGGTAAGAGAATAATTGAACAAAACAGACCCCCAACAAGCTCTCGGGTAAGAGCAGAAAGAGATACAAAACAGGCCCCCAACAAGCTCTCCGGTAAGAGCAGAAAGAGGGCACAAGACATGCCTTCAATAAGAGCAAGGAAGACGCAAAACAACCTCTCCAACAAGCCTTTCGAATAATGACAGCACAAAGCACAAGTCAGGTCCCACGACAGGGGTCATAGCCCAACACAAACTCCCAAGACTAGAGCTGCAGCCTCCACAGCAAGGTAAAGCAAGGTAAACCAAGAGGTAAACCAAGGCTATTCACGGGTAGGGAGCAACTAAGCATTGAAACTGAATCCCCAAAACAAGCCCTGAAACAAATATCCCCTCCAGCATACATTGCAAGCATAGAAAACAACAATAGAGGACCAATATCGACCCCCAAACCGAGTCACATATCACACTAAAATGTGGTCCGGGTAAGTATCAAGTTGCAGCCCCATAATTTTTCAAATTAAGCCCTCAAAACAAAATAGAGACTGACCATCATAAGGCGAAGCAGAACCCCTCACAAGGCTAAAACCGCAGTCCAGCATAAAGCCAACCGTGAGACCCAAAACCAAACCATTAGAGCAAGGTGAAACCGAGCCCAGCAGGGGCCAAAACTAAGCCCAACATCAAAATAATACATAGCTCTGCAAGCATTCAAATCCCCAAGCTGATTCATCAAAACAGAATAAAATCGAGCCATTACAAGGCAAAACCGGGCCATCCAAAGGCTAAAGAAAAGTCCTCATGCCTTTAAAACATCAGTATATGGAGCCAAGATAGGTTTTTAAACTATAAAAGCAATATAGAAAGTATTTTAGGCCACCAATTTTTCTAAGCATGAATCAACTTCCCTCAAACATCCAAGCATGAAAGATGTTTCCCCTCGAGGGGTCAAACCAAACTATTAAAGCAAACTATAGAACCTTTCTCAAATCAAAGCGAACTTCATAACATGAATTTTAAGGAAAAGAAAGTTATAAGATGCCAAAACCGAGCCCCCAACATATATGAAGGGCCAAATAAATTCTCCAACATCTCATGCTAATTTAGAACAAATGAGGAGTTTCACGATACATATCCCAACATGCTTGAGAGAGGAGCCAACATAATCTCAAAGCCACATTTTAACATTTTTGATTTGCCTTGAACAAAAAGAAAAGAGAGGAGCCAATAACATGCTATACTTTCACCATTTTAAGCAAGTAATCAAATCTAACTCCTAAAACATGCTCACGTTTCTATCTTTCACATGTTGAGGTGACAAATATTTCAAAATATAGGTGCAACACAAGGCTAGCATGTCATACCAGCCACAACACCAAGCTCGAGGATTCGACAGAGAGAAAACCGAAATATTTTCATTTCTTTAAATAATAATTTAATTAACATTTATTAATATAATAAGTTTGTTCCCCACACCCCCAACCAAAATTTGAGGCTGGTTCTACCCCTTCAGACATATACTAATTTTGTTTATCTTATGTTGTTGCCGCAGTTCTATAGAAATTGCATCTGCCCAGTTGATCTTTTCACCGATTCTAATCATGAGCCCTATATTTACAAGACATTGTAGTTCCCTTATATATATGCCTCGATAGTCCTACTTATAAACAAATGAAAAAAAAAAACAATTATGATAAATCTGGCAATGTTTTTGCAAGACAGTTCTCAGTAACTCAGTGTTTTTTATTATTTTTTTTAAAGTACAAATCCTGTGGGATTCTAAAACCTATGAAGCTACAACATTTGTATTCTATTACTGTTTCTCAACATAAAGACCCCCAGAGTGTGTTATTAATATATTTTTTATTCTTTTTTTCATCTTCAGAATTACTTCAATATTGTCCTTTTTTTAATCGCATACAAATTATATCAATACTTTCTTGACAGGTGGTCCCTACTTGAAAAATATAGTTGTACTCCTTCAAAGTTGCATCGCAAACCTCGGAGATTCAAGATATTTATAGAAGCTTTGGTGTGGCCCCCATTTTGAGATTTAGTTATCTTTGATATGAGCTCTAGGAAAAAATAATTGAATATACTAATTTATTACAGGAGAGCCAACTTCTCAAAGACCGAAATAAAGCCAGAAGAAAACGCCCTTGCCAAGGAGAAAATTGCTTAGAAACTTCGGCAACTTGGAGGTTTTCAGAACATGATTTTGTTGGGGTAAAAGCTGTTGTTGCAGATGCTGAAAATACCCCAAAAATAGGAATTAACAGAGGGCCTTCCATGAAGCGTAATACAAATTCTAATGTCAGCTTCAGCAAAGGGGTTTTCCCTGCCACTAAAGCTACTGGACAAAGGCATAGAACTGGTAATTTTTAGGCTTTAATGTCTAGTTCATCAGCAGCACGAGAAGTTTTGGTGTCTGCTATCTAAGCAGATAAATGATTATAGGGTGTTTTTTTAATTGAATAAATCAAATGTTTTGACTATTATTAGTGATTTAGGTCTTGTAGAATCTGCAGCATATAAACGATGGGAGAAGGCTGCAATGGCTGGGGTTTCCTTGGTTGCTGATGCAGCTGAGCAATTAGAGCGTGTTACCAACTGCGAGAACAGCACTTCGACTCAGGATATGCATAATTTTAGTGGTAAAGTATTCCTATTATATCTGATTCGTGTTCATGTATTCGGGAGCCCATTTGGAGCTTTGGGTAATCTTTTGTTGGATAACTTTTCTACTTTTTGCTGTATGCAACAGGAGTTGGCTCTCATCGGATTGGAGAAACAGTCGTGCAGACACGGGAGAAGTTGAAGCTCCAATTGTTTCCCGTCGATGAGGATACTCGGCAGAGAATTGAGAAGGTATGGCTAAACCTTTCATTTTTTTTTTTACATATTAAACACCTAAACAATCATATTTACGTGCATACCATTCAAATCTTTGGCATCACATAAAAAATATTACCATTACTATCTTTTTAAAGGTAAAATACACATTTTCATGCACGAGTTTATGATAACAAATGCTTTAAGTGTAAATATCAAATGTTGGGCGATAGAAATGTATATGCATAAGAATTGTGTGGTATGTATGTAAGTTTTATTTTATTTTTTTCCCTTGCTCTTGATAAGTCTGTCTAAATTCTATCTAAATGCAAGCGTGAAATATTTAGTTGATGACATTTGAATGATTAGGACTCTGGCAGGCCAACTACTTTTCCAAAGCTGGCCATTCCTCTTTGCACTTTCTAGGACAATTAGAAAGTGACTTTTTAAAATGCTTGAACGAAATATAATTTAGATCGTTAATACTTACAGGTCCTTCGCTGATTTTAATAATCATAAGGAACTATAGCTTCTCCACAAACAACTTATTCCTCGATTTGATTTTTGTAAACTTGTTATTGTTTTGCCTGTCACTAATCCTTCCTTTTTCACTTTTCTCTTAATAGGGTGCAAACAATCCATTCTTGGAACTTACATTGAGTGCTCGGAAAAGAATATCTTCAGTACTTGAGCATCTCAATCGTAAATGGGGCACGGATACAATAGGTTCTGCAGAGCTCTTACTTTTACCATACAACATTCAACAGGGTGACATAGCCAGATGCCAAAGATGGACCATAAAGGATGCTGATTCCACTGCTGCTGATGTGCATGCTGCCGTTGGAAATCCTTCCGTTTTCCGACTAAGGTTTATATGGTTTTTTAGCATTTTTCTACAATAAATGGCTCAGAACAGTTCTTACGGAGGTGCCGAAGTTCTTACTTTTGTAATTCTTGGTTAAGGTATTGCTGGTTTTCTGGGCATGAACCTGGAGCAAGATTATCTAATTCAACTTCAGCTCCTGATTCTGATGACTATTTTCACTCGGAAGATATCATTAAAAGGTTCATCCCTCCTGGTGCATCAGAAACCACTCATTTCTGTTGCACCTCCAAGCTTGTAGGAGAATCTTGTAATGGTTCTCCTTTACCCTCTGCTACATCTATTACTGAGATGAGAGCTCAAAGTGATACTCTAAAACTAAAAGATGGTCTCCCAGAGTCATCAGGAAAATCACCTTCATTGAATGCATATAGAGCTAAAGAAGGTTCTGGAAACCAGGCAGAAGATATGGTATGTAGCTTCTAAATTCTGATAGTGAGAAAACAACAACTTTTATATGAAGCATTCTGTCCGCTTTGTAACATGTTGAAGCACCTACCATGCAGTCTGATCCAGCAGTAAGGTGCAGTTCAGATCTCTTGGCTGGAGAGTGGGCCGATAGTCTAACAAATATTAGCATCGGGGATCTATTGTTAGAGACATCAGAAGCTTCTTCTCAGCAAAATTCTCTTTGCCTTCAGCAGACTTCTTTTAGCTGTGATTCATTTGATGCTGCAGTTGCAGCCCATAGTTATTTCCCTCAGTTTTCAGGTTTGGGAACTCAGGCTCCAGTTGTTTCTATCTGGAATGCTGAAGAAACATGTGATGAGTTTTCCTTCAAAACATCTCCAACCCTTGGGGAAAAGGGCTTCAATCTCAGCACCAACGTCTCACCGAGAGTTTCTAGAGATCCTGTTGATATGAATTCGCCAGGATTGGTGGATCGTTATGTTGAGGTAAGTTTAATAAATATTATTAGATCATTCTGCTTATCAAAAGGTATCATGTCTCTTATTTCTCTTAATACTACATAGGATTTTAAGAAGTCTCGACACTCAAATGACAATCCTAGTGATGAGCCTGAATCTGATAACCCTTCAGCCTTTTCCTGCAAACAGGAACCAGTTAAAGATGTCTCTCTCACAGACTTGTATTGGGTACTTATTCTTGTTTCCTCCTATATTTGTTTTTAGAGACTTGTATTATATATTTATTTAAGCTTTTCTCATCTACTTTTTTCCATCTGCAGCCAGATTCTTTAGGTTCTTTAGGGCAGCTGGACTTGGATTTACCATTTTCAAGATACCCATCGCAGGATATTTGCTTTTCTGAAAGAAGTATCAGCCAAAGTAGCTTTAACGGCATGATGGCTGGTTGTCTAGATTTATTTCAGAGTGGTTCACGCTTAGGTACAGAAAAAAAGGAGATAGTTGGTACAGTTGAGGAAGCTTCGGGCTTTGATGATGAGAAAATGGCCTTAGAGGATTGCTAACTGATTTGTATGTATTTTATCATTTTACTGAGTTAAGCTCAGGTTTAGATGCTGGATCTAACTGAGGTTAGGATGGATGCGGCACTTGTAATCTATGGGTAATGGACAGGTATAGTAGCTGATTCGAGTAGATATACGTCTAATTCAGTATCCTAGTATCATTATTTTATGTACAGATATGAACCACCTCTCTTCTGTAACGATCCATCCCGAATGTTTTAACTTTTTTTTTTTTCTGAATCTTCAGGAAAGCAAAGCTTGTATAAGAATTGAAGTTTTTAACCTGCTAGATTCTAATTGAGGTAAGCATCTTATATTTGTTCTAAGTCAACAATATTTTGTGCTATCAATGGTGATGGAAACATGCCTTGGGTTCCTGTAGCAGCAACGTTTTCTGTTTTCGTTTCCATTTCTTAATGGCAAGCATCTGAAATTTTCTGAATTTGGGGGCCCCGTGGATTCCCTGTATGCGAAATTTGTTTGTTTGGTTCGGAGGAATTTGAAAGAGGTGAAATGGAAATTAATATGCCAAGGAAATTAATTTGAATTATGTATTTACCAAATTGTTTGTTTGAGCAAAAGTTAAAAAAAGTCTTTTGCTTGATGAAAATTTGAGTTTTTTTTTCTTTTTTTCTTTTTGTTTCTTATAGAGGGATCTAAATTTTGGTAAGAAATTAGAATAATGTGCTTGTTCATATTAATAAAATTAATTTAGTTATATGGACAAATCTCATAGTTCGTTACTTCAATGGGTTTATAAATATGTAAAAACTCAAATAGCCATGCCAATTAGCTATATGGATATTGGGGTGGATGATGGTCAAAATTATAGGTGACTGACTATTAGTTTCAGTAATTGTGGTCCATGTGGAATGTAATAATCTCATTGATGACAACCCACTAGACAACGATGGCTGGATCAACGCTAATATGAGTCAACCTGTTGGGAAATAAACAGTAGTTTTGAGAGCTATGATTACTTCCAGGCGAGGTTAATATGAATATTCATATTGAAATCCACTTCACAGCTGTTATAGACATGCTTGAGTCAAGATTATTAAGGGGCAGCTTATTTGGTGTGGTGGCGTTTTGAAAACTCACATGGCCTGTTTGGATAAATTGCGTTTTGGCAGTTTATGTGTTTTCTAAACGTTGAAAGCGGTGTTTTCACACCGCACCTGTCTAGGTATGGTGGCAGCTTTCTGACAGCGATCTGACATTTTCAAAATAATAAAAATTTGTACTCATCGCACTTAGATTATCACCAAATTATTTTTAATTAACTTAGCTGCTCCAAACAGATAGTAAATTAGAGTGGACACTCCTCTAATTGGATAACATTAGCTCTCATGGGTAGATTGCTTGCTAAAACTTCTTCAAAGGAAGGTATTAATCTACCAAGTGTACTATGTTGAGTAGATTATTGATAAAAGTGATAAAAACTCTCTACCATATATAATAGAATAATTAAAACGTTTTGACTTATTTAACTTGGTATACCTAGGTGGAAAGTCTTACCTATATAACCTAACCTAGTCAACCTTAGCTACAAAAAAACCTAATCATATTTATAGATCAAGTCAACCCCATTTTTTACCATGGGACTTCTTAAAAGCTTTAAGAACCCCAATAAAAAAAAAGGAATTATACTAATTATCTAGATTAGATGTACATATAGTATGGATAAAACCTTACAACTATCAAAAGTCAATATAGTAAACCAAAGCCTATAAATATGAAATTGACTATTTTAAGCTAATGGTTGGCCATGCCTATAAATATCAAATGGAACATTTTAAGCTAGCCAAGTCAAAAAAACTCAAACGAAGTCAATCAAAAGTAAGCTTGGTCAAACTCCAATTAAATTGAATCAAATTACAAATTATTTGAATAGGATTAATTAATAATACTATAGTAAAGGCTATAGACCACTATGATTACCTTTAAATAGAAAAATTACAAATTATGTGAAATGTGATCCTAGTATGTTAAAATTTTTGTCTGTCTCAAGAGGTACACATGTAACAATTGCATTACAACAAGAAGCACAACTTCAGTTCTTTTGTAAGAATTTTAAACATATCTTTTTTTTACTACAAATAATCTAAATAACCTTGTGTCCACAAGCATCAAACTTGGTTTATCCTTCTTTATCTACAAGCCCTCAATTGTCATCCTCTTCATAACATTATTTTTTATATTAACATGAAGACTTAAATTCAGCCTCTTCAACTAGAGTAATATGATTTTTCATTGTTATCATTTTACTTCATCAAGTGGAAAATATTTCATTTGAAGTAAAAGTAGACTTGATAAAAGAAAAAAAAACAAAACAAAACACGGTGTCATGTTATAATCTCGACACTATATTTTTGTAAAATAAAGTGAATTCTTTTTTGAGAAGTGATGCTTAAATAAGGAATTTTCTCTTTGCCAACATTATATTTTAGTGAATACTCATTTTCTTAAACTGTTGTGAGATATGTACTTCCTGACATAGAAATGAAATGCAAAGAACACAAGCAAACATAGATCGTTTACGTGTTTCGATCCAACTGGATCTATGTCCGCGGGAGGGAATCAATCAAATAGTTCACTAAGGCAAAAGAAATGGAGAATACATAGCTTTATACACAGAGATGAGCCCTCATCTTCCTTCTATGACCTCTCTCTCAAGCGACACCTTGATACAAGGCCTCAAGATGCTCTCCTCCTCTCTAGCTCTCTAGATATTCTCTTCTTCTTTGTGGTAGCTTAAGATCTCTTCCCTTGCTCTCCTAAGCCTCACACCCTCTCTATTTATAGGAGCAAGAGAGTGGTAGGTGAGCGGTAGGTAAGATGTAGTAGGTGAGCGGTACCACATTACAAAAGTGCCCTTTTACCTTAGTTCAATAATTGGGGTTTAAAATAACAATTTTCCACCTTGACCCTCAATTGAGAAGCTTTGAAGTAAAGATTCCCTCCACCTGGCCCCTGAGGGGCCCTCAGCCCTTGCTTGAGTTTGCTAAGTTCAAACAGTACATGGACTTAAAAATCACGGTTCTTCCGATAAGAGAGTACAACCCCTTTTTCCTGACTCCTTGTATGATGACACGAGGGCCTTTGGTTACTCTGATGCAGTCATTCTCTGTCTTGAACGAGCATCCGCTTGACTCCAGCGTACCTAAAGAAATCAGATTTCTTTTGAGCTCTAGTACGTATCTGATATTTTTTAGTACTCGTTCAACTACATCAAACATCTTTATCTTGATTGGTCCACTTCCAACAATACTGTGAGCTTTATTGTCTCCCAGTAGAACAGATCCATCATTTTCTTGTTGTAGTGTCTCGAACCAGTCTTTGTGAGGACACATGTGGAAAGAACACCCTGAGTCGAGAATCCACTCCTTACTGGATTTAGATTCTGTGATCACCAGGGACTCAGCAGAATCGTAGTCATCAGAGGCTACGCTTGCTTCTCTTGATTCTTCTGGCTCTTCTTGGTACTTATTCATCCTGTTTGAGCAGTTCCTCTTGAAATGATCGACCTTGTGACAGTGATAGCACTTGAAAGATCCCCTTGATGATTGATTCCCGCCATCCTTGCTTGACCTTGATCTCTTGATCTGTACTGACCATTTCTTCTTGTCCGATCTTCCTCTGACAATAAGACTGTCTCCGCTGACTTCCTTGTCCCTATCATGCTTCCTCTGAAGTTCTTTGGCTCTAATCAGAGATTGAACCTCCTCTAGAGTAATAGTCTGCACCCTTTCATAGAGCATCACATCTTTGAAATGCTCGTAGCTCTTAGGAATAGAGTTTAACAACAACAGTGCCTTGTCCTCATCGTCCATCTTGACGTCGATGTTCTCGAGATCGTCGATGATCTTGTTGAATTCGTCGATCTGCTCTGAGACGGATTTATCTTCATGCATTTTGAAGGAGTATAGGCGCTGCTTCAGAAAGAGCCTATTAGCCAGAAACTTTGTCAGGTAGAGTACCTCGAGTTTGGCCCAAAGAGCTTGAGTCGTTGTCTCCCTCGACACCTCCCTCATGAACCAATAGAGCTCTCATCTTTACTCTCCATAGGCTGAAGTCGTTCTTCCCGTTGAATTTCTCAATGTCAAATTTGGCGGAACTCATTATCGTGACTAGGATTTCTTCCAATGAATTCTACCTACTGGCCTTCCAAGAACTAGGTTGAAATCACCAAAATGTTGTACTATTGTATAGCAATCAAAAGTTTTCAGCCTAAACATGCCTTTTAACGCCTTGTTGTCCAAGAAATTCTCACCAAATTTCTCACCTTCTCCTCGTGAACTCCACTGTCTTTGCCAACCGAACGGAGAGCTCTGATCCCTTCTAGCAGAGCACACCTGTTCACCAAAGAAAACTTCATATTTTGTGCTCCCGTCTCCTTCATGCAGGCACTCCTCTGCGTCCAGCTAAACAATCAGGAATTCCTCCTCTGCCTTTCGCACAAGAATAACTGCCTCTCAAGAGTCATCGCGCCTCGCCAAACTGCTCAGGTCCTCCTGCTTCGCGAACTCCCGAACAGGGAACTCCCCGAACCCTTCTCTGTGCGATCTCCGCCTCTTCCCTTTGGCCGAGCTACTCGCAAGACCGAACTCTTGATCTGAAATCCTCTGCTGGCAGCCCTGTCGCAAATTTTTGGCCATCGCTCGCGGACTGTTCTTCCTCCGTCTTGCCGAACCACACAACCTGCGGTGCGAATCCAGTCGATCAAAGCTTCCACTGCTCACCGAATATGTCGCGATTCGGATGTCTGCGACGCTATTCGCTTGCTCTTTTTTTGGTGAATGTCGAACTCCTCTTCTTCGTCGCTAGCCGCGAACACCTTTACGCGGACACCTCTAGCCAAGAAGTATGGATCTTCCCACAGACGGCGCCAATTGTTGTGAGATATGTACTTCCTGACAAAGAAATGAGACGAAAAAGAACACAAGCAAACACAGATCATTTATGTGGTTCGATCCAACTGGATCTACGTCCACGGAAGGGAATCAATCAAATAGTTCACTAAGGCAAAAGAAATGAAGAATACATAGCTTATACATAGAGATGAGCCATCATCTTCCTTCTATGGCCTCCATCTCAAGCGACACCTTGATACAAGGCCTCAAGATGCTCTCCTCCTCTCTAGCTCTCTAGCTATTCTCTCCTCCTTTGTGGTAGCTTAAGATCTCTTCCCTTGCTCTCCTAAGCCTCACACCCTCTCTATTTATAGAAGCAAGAGAGTGGTAGGTGGGAGGTAAGTGAGCGGTAGGTGAGCAGTAGGTGAGTGGTAGGTGAGATGTGGTAGGTGAGCGGTACCTCATTACAAAAGTGCCCTTTTACCTTAGTTCAATAATTGGGGTTCAAAATAACAGAAATTTAGTTCTCTTCTTCAA